TTCTTATTATATATTTTCAAAAATTAATTTGACTTGTGTGCAAATGAATAAAATGTATCCTCTTTACTTAAAACACACATGCATGTACGTACACAAGCATGTACACAACTAAAATTTAAAACACAAATAATTCTTAGAATTTTAAGAACAGAAGATGCCTCCAGCTCGTCCTCATAAAGAATTAGGACTCTGCCAAGAGTTTTATTTTTAAATTTCCTAGATAAAAGTAGTTAAGACTAATTGTATATGTTGTCTATTTATTGATGTTAAAATACATTTACTTGAGTTCTTGGAATATAATTTGATGGACTTTGTATAAATTGTTGCACTAGGCTTTAATATTTACAATGAATCTTAAATTAATAGTAATTCTGTATCTGATTATTAGATTGGTAGTATTATTTAATAGGAAAAATAACTCATGCAGGTGCTAGTAAATTATAAGGGCTAGAAAGCTCCTGATAAGGTCATTTTAGTGGTGGCACTTTTAACTGACTCTTGGTAGCAAGATAGCATCTGCCTATTGTCTTTTTTTTAATTTTGACATAAACCGCTTATTTATGATTTTTCCATTTGAAGAACTGTGTCTAGTAACGTGCTTCCACCAGCCACGCTTCTGCTAGATCTCTCTCCGACATTAATTCAATTCTGCAATGTGGGGGCCAACTTATTATAGCACCTCAGTGGGATCTGTAACTGCCGTTAGAACCGAAAATAGTCTCTATTATTTTGCTTGAAAATATGGCACTCATTTTTAATAAGATTTTTCACCATTTCCATTGAGCCGATGGGAATGAAAGATAGGAACCCACGAAAAATACATCAAGCTTGTCTTGGTCACGACTGTATTACTAAGTTTGTCGAATAAACAAATACATTTTCTTGGAAAACGATATTACCACTTATAATGTTCAAAGCAAGCACTGATATCAAGATATCACATTACCGTCTGTGAAACTTAACGAAGATCTAGAGGAAAAACTTATGAATTTAATGTAGTTTATTAAGCGCTCTTTGGTACACTGTGTGAATAAAGCCCCATATCGCTGATTCTTAATGATTGCTGGGGGTGGTGAATCTATAAAGAAAAGAATCGTTTAGTGTGGGAATATCCTCCAGGCCGGTCAGTGGCTACAGATGCTGAAGTCAGATAAGACGTCTGAATAGCATCCGCCCTCCTGCACTGTGAGCTTGTGTGTGGTCACAGGTCCTTGTTAGTTTCCACACAGGGAAAGAAGCCCAGGTGAGGGAGAAAGCTCATGCAGTAAGGTGGTTATCACATACAACTCAATAAACACCGACGCTCTCTGTTATTTCAAGGACGTATTATTCTAAGTCTGCAATGTGAGTTGCCTCATATTCTCCATCTTCACTCCCCTGCCTCCAACCAGGACTGCCACGCAGGGAGAGCTTAAAAAGATGGGAAAAGAAATTCAGATTTCAGCCAATAGGCAACAACGCTACTTGGCCTCCGCCCCTTTAAACGTCCTGTCTCCTTGAGTGCGTGTATCCCACTATGATGAAAAACGGACACGTGCTTCATCCTCACCCATGCATTGTTGTTTTTGACTTAAGACATTAAAGAAACCCGAGACCCTTTGAGGCTTTCCGTCTCAATCAGATGCTTTCAACAGATCTGAGAGACGATGGATGGAAGTGATTGCTGCAGAGTGGGGACGGCGGATGGGAGAGCGTTCGCCCAACGTTCGTCGTCGTCGTCAGGGAGAAAGTTTCGCAGGGACTTTAAAGAGGAGCACAGCTCCTGAGATAGAGCGGGCTTAGCGTGGAGAACGCGGGAGGCCACCGAGACGTGGCAGCGGCTGGACGGCAGGGCGCTCCTCCTTCGTCCCTCCCCAGGCTCCTTGACAACGTGCAGCAGCTGCTCACCATCCATCCCATTCCGGGATTTAATCCGCCAACTTCTGCTGGGAAGGAAATAATCCTGATTCCTTTGGGCTTTACCTCATGGTGTCTGTTTCCTGGCTGCTTAATCACATTCGCTGAGTTTTTCTCCAAAAACTCTCGTCACAGTTACGTGGGGACCCCACTGCTGAACGTAGTGGGAACATGACTAAAATCGCCTTTAAAAGAATCCTCCGTTGGCACCGCTAGAGTCCACTGCCATCTTGCTGCTTTATTATAGGATCAGATTTCAGGAACTGGGCTTAGAAGAGGCACTGCCCGAAGAAAAGTCACCAGCTTTCAATTTTTTTTTTTTTTAATTTCCCAAAGAGGAACTTTCAGTAGTCGTCTGTACTCGTCTTTCATTTCTCTCTGATTTTTTTCCTGTGTTATGTTAATCCAATCTTTATGGACAAATGGATAGTATTCCACTCGTTTTAATCGGAGTCGAATGTATAGTAGTGGCTTCTTTCGGTAATGACATTCATTCATTCATTCATTCACTCAGGAAGTATTACCGAAGTCCTCGCATAGGAAAAGCTGTGTTCCAGGAGGTGGAGTTAAAATGATGAAAAAGATAGACCCAGGCTCCACAGTCACGTGAGGGAGAAAGACATTGAAAAGTAATTGTACAAAGGATTGTACAGTTCAAAATTGAAATATGTGGCATAAAGAAAAGAGACACCATTGTATGAGAGAGTAAAATAATGGAAAATCACTTGCAATGAGATCGCTTCCTCTGGAGAAGAGAAAGTCACTTGGTTGAATTTGAAGTGTGACTAGTAAGATGAACTCATTGCACGGAGGGACAAGTGTGTCAAGAACTGCATTCTGTGGAGAAGGAACATCACGTCCAAAGCACTGTCTGTTTATCATATGGTCAGCAGAGGTCAATTTCCTCACGTTCGCGCTGTGTCCTTCATCGGCTTTAAGTCCGGATGGACTGTCTCCCCTACACCTTATTATGAGTCCCTCAGCTGAGAGTTTCTGTTGTTTGCTCACCCTGTTAAGGGCTTTGCCTTTCCTGATTCAATAACAGAATTTTGAATTGCGTTATACCATCTTTGATTTCAGAGCCAAGTGAATTGATTTGTAAAACGAAATGGAGAATTTAAGATAAGCTTACATAACAGGCGACTATCTGGCTCAGGTGACGGTAAGTGTGGCTGAAACTCTCGATCTGGAGTGTTTGTGTGGACAGCTTTTAATGGGTATTTCTGGGACTTTGACAATGTAGCTAATCAAAAGAATACCTTTTTCTTTTCAAGATTTATTCTTAGAGCTCTGCTTTGGTATTTTCGAATCAGAACTAGCATTTAGCTTTCACCTTAAATCCTAGACTTCATTTAACGCTTCACTCACTGAGCTGTGCAGTCACGCATTGCCGCAGAGATGTAGTTCTTTTTCTAGCTTATGGAGGATGGATGCTGAGGTTCCCCAAATTCCCCAAAGTCTAAAAAAATTTCACTGAATAGGAAAGCCTCCTCACAAACCGATGATCACCATATATGTTTCCTCAGCCAGATTTCCTGCCTCAGCTTTGACCTCTGCCCCATTCATCAACACTCCCCAAATTCCTTACCTTCTCTCGAATTCTGTAGTTCCTAAAATTTGACTAATTCTCCCTATTGCTTAAATATCTTAGTCTTGAGCCCTAATTAACCATCCACGCCTAGCTATTTTTTCAGTCCAGAGTGGAAATGACAGCCTCATGTGCCTTAGGAACTATTTTCGTGTGTGTGTAAAATAAAATAGTTCGATGATTTTAAAAGGAGCTGTAAGTGTACTAGCAACTCCTATTTTAGTGGCTACACGTGTCGATTGATATAAACTTTGACTTTAACGTTAAAGTTGGAAGTGGTGGCGGTTTGATGTTTATCGCTGGTGGGGTGTATGTGAGAGACCCGATGAAAACAGAGAAGGGCCAGAGTGTCCTTGCTGTTTCTTAAGTGCCTTTAATTCGAAATAATCAATATGCTAAAGTGGCAGACTTTGGGGCGACACGTTCTGGTTTTTCTCTATATTCAGGCAAATGGTTTAGTGATTTGGCTTCTAAAAGCCTAATGATATTATCTTTTGAGGGAACTTTTGTATAATCATGGGACAAAATGAGACAAATTACCTTTAGAGATATCATTATATATACATGTATGTATTAGCAAATAATATATATTAGCAATATAAAATATTTATTAATGATATAAAATAGCGTAATATTAGCAAACTTACCTTAACCTCATTTTATGGAAACATGTCCCCAAATATTTCATTTATTTATGAATGTGTTCACTTATAATTTAACTTCTGTTCATTGAGATTCTAGGGTGTACTCAGGCATTGTACTATGAACCTTGCGATGAGAACAACATGGCTCCTGTCTTTGAGGAGCTAACTTTATTTAGAGAGACAGTAAGGGAAATTACAATATGATAAATGCTATAACAGTTATGAACCAAGCACTTTCATTGAATTCGCGGCTGAGAAGTGGCATTCTGGAAACAAGTTTCTTATGTTTGTCACATCATATGTACAGTCCTGGACAAAGTCCAATGTTAAAATCAAAGTTTACATAAATTGACATGTGTAGCCACTAAAATAGAAGTTGCCAGTACACTTAAACAGTTTCTTTTAAAATCATCAAACTATTTCATGTCACACAAAAAAGTTATGGTCATATTATTTTTCTCAACTGCCAATGAAGACTTCTATTCGTACCATGTTTCCAAGGAAGTTTATCTTGTTATTGAGTCTGTTTGGAGGACAAATTATGTGAATGGAATTCATCAAGCCCTAATTTATCCTTTCTATATTCTACTCAAGCAAAAATCAGGATTCTTCTCTCTGGTTATCTATGAAATCTAGTGTCTCGTTAGCTTTGTAATCATGTCTGATTACCTTCCCGCGGTTCACGAAAATTCTCTGAGAAACTACTGTACGTTTAAGATCTGGATAAGCAGAGAATCGTGCATTTTGACACTCGATTAAATATAGTTAACGCTTGTCATATGATATTTCGTTCTTTTATTATGTTCTGTGTTAAACCTTTAATACTTTCAGACCTTAGTAATGCAATAAAGACCTTGAAGGCACATATCATGTAACTTTATATACACAGTAACTTTATATCCTCAGAGGTTATTGAATACAAGAAGACAAACATATTTTATTAGAAATATGTCCTCCTGGAAGATTTTCCGCACGATATCAGAATAATGTTAGATGATGATGGAATGTTGGAGAAGGCGCCCATCCTAGGTCCTGGCAGGAATTAATTTATCCAATTCTCCTAGCAGTGAGGTTAAGTATTAGTCTTTCCTTGTAAGTTCTTTCTTTGCAAGCTCTCTAAACTACCTGCTTTCTCCCTCGATTGTTGACTCAACGTGAATGTCAAATTTTAAGAATAAAATATCCAAAACTTGGAAGTAAGACAAAAAAGATACCTACATGACTTCCTCGTTAAGCAATGGCGTCATCTGACGATCTCCCGTAAAGTCGATCTGTCTTAAGAATGGGACTTTTCCTCGATGTTTGCTAGAATGCACGAGAACCTTCCACAACTTTGTAAGCATAGGTGTGAATTTGTAGAAAACCCAGAATGTGCATATATGTCTCTTTCTGGTAGCAATACTGATGGTTTCAGCCCAGGAAAGGAGATGAACCAAAGTTTGTGATTTCTGGCCGTGAGGAAAAATAATCCGTTTTTGTTGTGATGGTGGTTGTAATTTAGCAATCTCATTATAGAGTTTTGTTTTTTTTTTCGTTCACTGACTCTATATACATTGGTTGGTACGTTTCAGTATAATGAACCAGCGAGATAAATTGCCTTTGTGTCCTGCTGCCTTTTTTATTAATAAGTTCAGTAAAACTTTGACTATGTATATGTATGAGAATTATACTGTTTTAAGATTTTAAAAATTATGCATTTGACAAAGATCTTATGTGTTCTTTCTTGAATTATTATAATAGTAATCAATAGTTAATCCTTCTCTGGAATGCCTCGCCTAACTCCCTATCAGCCTTGCCTCCCAGTTTTGAACACCCTCAACAGCAAAACGAAATGATCGCCCATCAGAGCAGCCAAGACCGTGGATCTCAGCCCCTCGCTTAGCCGTGCCATCATAACGAACGACCACAAACTGGGTGGCTTAAAACAACAGAAGTTGTTCTTTCACAGTTTTAGAGGGCAGAAGTCCAAAATCAGGGGTCAGTAAGTCCATGCTCCCTCTGCGGGTTCTAGTGGAGAACCCATTCTTTGCCTCTTCCAGCATCTGTTAGCTGTTGGCCTTTCTTGACCCGCGGCTGCAAAATTGCATGTTCTGCATCTGTCTTCGTGGCGGCCCCTCCTTTTCCCTCTGCCTTCTCTCCTGTGTCAGATATCTTTCTGCCTCACTCTTGTAAGGACACTTGTCATTGGATTTAGGGCCCAGCCAAATAATCCAGGATACCCTATCGCATATCCTTAACTATTACATCTGCAAAGACCTTTTTCCAAATAGGTTACATTGATAGGTTCTGGGGATTAAAATATAGACGTACCTCGGGAGGAGGTTATCATTCAACCCACTACACCATTCGTATCCAGCCCCTGCTCCGCTCTCCATCCTTCCCTCCCCGTGCTTCTCGGCTATTTCTGTTGATTTCTTGATCCCTACCCCACCTCTAGCCATAAACTTTACTCGTTATAACTCATCGTTTTTGTTGTTCATATGGTTTCTCCACCTAGCATGGCCTCTTTTTCTTTTCTACGTGTCTGATGTCCATGATTTCTTCAAGCGGGCTCCCCACCCACCTCTACTCCAGGCTGAGTCTGGTAGCTTCTCTCTGTGCTCTCATAGTATCCGGAACATACTTCTCTTACTTACTGAATTTTATTGTCTTTCTCCACCTTTATAGGCTCCTCCATAGATATTTTTTTGTAGAGTATGGATTCTGTCATCTTTGACTTTCTATAACCTGGCACAGTACCTATAAGTAATAGTAATTCCCTGAGGATGGAACGTGAGTCAGAGAGTCTCAAACTCAAGACCTGTTTGTTTAGTTACATAAATTTAGCTCACGACTTTTCTTTGACATTTTCTAAAATCCTTATTCTGTGCAGTTTAGCAGTTGGATTATAGATTATTTCATGTTCTGGTAGCTTGACATCTATTTTGCCTGCACTTGTCCAGTTCACCTAAATTATACAGCTCGAAGGACGGAATGCACGTCTCCTGTGGGGTATGTATTGGGAATATGGAAATAACTTGCCAAGGACTTGTTAATTTAATCCCCAGTGGAAACATCTAGAATGTAAGTATATCTTGGAAGGAAGATAGTCTGGCTTATATTTATCTTTTACTATTTTTCTCCGATAGGAAATCTAACTCTACTTTTCAGTGATTGACTAATGCTTTAGAACTAAGGTAAATTGTGTTCCTATTGGAATTTCTAATTTCTGAGCTTAAGAAAACTGTTAGCCTTCATGAAGTCAGTTTATTAAGTTTCATTTTATGTCCCCTCCTTATGTCTTAATCACAACCACAGTATAAATAGTCTGTTGTTGTTGCAAAACCTCCATTCACTCATACATTTTATTCTTATTGACCTTGGCTTAGGAAATTTGGATGGAAGGAATCACTAACGAGGAAAGGATTGTTTGAACTTTGATTCCATGTTTCAAAGTCTTAACTGAGACCTCAGCCACATGGAATCATGAAGTTATTATACGCCTGCTTTGGAGAAGCCATCGGCTGAAAATACAAAGGAACTGTACTGTGTGATAGTTTACTCTCAGAAACTTTATTCGCTGTCCTTAAGTATCATCAAATGATTATTTGGGCAATGGAAAATGTTTGTTTTCTATAGACTTATGAAATTTTAGCATTAAAATCATTTAAAAAATCACCTGGTCTCAGGTATCATTAAAAACTATATTTGTGCCAGATTAACTGAAAACTTTGGCCCCAGATAGAATGGGAAATAGGGCCAAGTTTTAGGCAAACTTGGGTATTTCTTTATTTTAGGTGTAAAGTATATAAAATTCGATGAATTCTTGCCCTCTGACCTAAAACCAACTAAAACCCAACAATTTGGCTATGATTTCCTTTGAGGTTTTATATATTTTTTCAGCTATAAAATGTGAACCCAGGTCAAGAGGCATATACTAAAGTCTCAATTTTAGCAAGAAAAATATTTATGAACTAAAAGAAAAATATTTATGAGAATTCTACAGAAACTCGGTGCCTGAGTAGAAAACTTTAAAACTTAACTAACCAACTTAGAATATTTGGGACAAGTGTGCATTTCATGAAATTTGGTCTCATTTTTCCTCTTCTTTCCAGTTTTATCGATAGAATTCCACATGGGTTCTTCTTCTATGCCACGTTACAAGGTTTTGATAGGTTCTGTAGAGGAAGGTCTCTTAATTTTTCTTTTACCTTCTAGGTCATGGCTCTTTAATTTGCATCATTCTTTTTTCCCCCTGCCCCAAATCTCTCTTTTGTGGGGACCTTGTCAGATTTCCGTTGAAGATCGAATCAGAGGACACAGCGAGTGAATCCAGCAATATTGCACTCCAGAGTTCTTTCCTTGCCAACAGAGTTTTGACCTCTGTCTCTGGGCAAGGACACAGCTTGGTGACATGACCCCACACTGAAAGATGAGTTTCTTGTGTTCTAGGGAAACACATCCCAAGAGTTGCAGTGATGGCCTCTGTTCCTTTGCCTTGTCTAGACATCCCAGGCTTAAAGCTCACGATCATTCCCAAAGCGTTTTCTTGCTATTCTTCCTTGGAGCATGTTGAACCCTTACACAGATAAATCCTTTAGAGTTCTGCCTAGATTTATTCCTGAAGTCTCCCAAAGGTCCTTCATATTTAGTTTTTCTGTCTTCCTTTTCCTTTCTTCTCTTCTCTTTTCTTTTTCCCAGTGACCTCTTTACTCCTTTCAGTGAAAATGTCCGTGTTCTAGGACAGCATTGTCCCTGTCTTGAAGAGGGGCTAGAAGGGAGAGGATGTGCGTCAATCCCTGTTATTAAACAATGCACCATTTTCTGATGAATTCAAGAATACATCATTTGAACTATTTTCTAACTCCCATCAGCTGTTCCTTTAAGTCTTATCTCCCATAATTATCTTTCATGTATCTTACGCTCTAGTAAAATTAGACTCTTTGCTATCATTCACTCATTCCTTCATTCAACAAATATTTTTAAGTGTCTACTGTGAGCCAGGCACTGTTCTCGACTCCAAGACATGAGTAAACACAACTGACACACTGTGGTCTCATGGGCCTTGAATTCCAGCACATCTTGGGCATTCCCAGCTGTGCACGTTTGCTTTTCTGTGGTGCTACTCCCTTACGTGTTTGTCCGATCCAAACTTGGGTGTTTTTTCAACTGGTACCTGAATTTCGAAGCTAAATTCAGACTGTCCTTAACCCATAAAGGACCTTCAAAAGTGGACTTGCTGTGTACATTTGCAAAGCTTAGGACTGAAGTATGAATGAGATCCACATACCATTTGTCTAAAGATAAAAATTTAGCTAAAAACCTTGATAGCTGGTCAAAATTGAAAAATGTATAAGACTATGGTGTCGATATATCTGAAAGTTGGCATGACATCCAAGATTTCTAAATTTACTATTATTCTGCCTATCCGGGTAGTCTCTGTAGATTGACTGACATTGTTTGAATAAGTAATTAAAAAAAAACATAATTAATAAAGTATTGTATACTTAGTTCTTAAATTTTTTTTTCTTCTTTATTTTGGCAAAATCAATAATGTTGTTATAATTAAGATTTCTTACATAATTGTGTCATATTGGCAGTGGTTACAATTTAGACAGCGGTTTTTGAGTCACCATAGTCCTTAGATTTTTTTTTTTTAATTTTCAATTTGAAGAATTCTATTGAGGCTATCATAACCGGAATGGTCAATAAAATTCTTTAAACGGATTCTAAACAACCATAAAATTTACACATTGTGTTCATTTTAATAGGGAGACTTATGACCAAATATCATCACAGAAAATATTTTAAGTATTCTAACTTCCTTGAATAAAGTGCTATCAATAGCGTATTGTTTTTACCATCTTTTAAAGCAATATCTAAATCCATATAGTAATATAAACAATTAGTATCACAAGTCGGGCATGTTACTTCTAGACCTACTATACTAAATTTAAGAAAGATTTGAAATGTTTACTATTGCACATGATTCCTCAGCTTCCATGTACACCTGTTGCAAATACACTAATTTACGAAAGTAGGACTATGTCCAGACAGCACACCTGGATCATATGGAGAACGTGGATGCTCAGCAACAGCTGGGGGAGGATACTTTATTGTGCAAGAATCTATTGCATCCCTGCTGAGAAGGAGGACATGACAGGTTAATTAGTTTGTATTTTCTCTCACCCGATTTTGCCACTTGAGTCTTTCCCACAGTTTCATCTGTGAAGTCAATAATGGTCGCCTTCATGCCACTCCATGCCACACAGATGCAGTCACCAAAAGTCATGGGGACAAACATCAAGAGAGTTGAAGAAATGATGATTTGGGAACTGAAAGAGTTTTGACCTGAGAGCCAGTATTTAAAATGACAGATTAGGCTAGATCAGCTCTACCTGCTGGGTCTCAGATGACAGGGCATGTGTGGATTCTGAAGTACACTACTGAAGTATACTACTCTCTAAAACAACGTCTACCTACGGTGGGAGTGATCTATGATTTTGAAATTCGTAAACATTGCATTTTTTCTAATGCCTGGAAAAATGTGACAAATACGATAATAGTTTGCCCACTTATCATATCTCTTCAAAGAGACAAGTTCTTTATGAACAATGAAAGACATCTTGTTTGTTTTTAAACCACCACCTGTGCCTAGCACAATAGATTTAAGATTGTAGAGTCTCAAATTTACTTTAAAAGATATTAAATAGCTACACTAAATAAATAAAAGAAAAAATACAACTAATTGTAATTCATAATGCTCATGGTTTTTTGTTTTGTTTTGTTTTAGTTAGGACTAATTTATACATACCTGTGATGGAGTAGTTAACGAAATGAGTAACGATCTGAGGTCTGAGTCTGGATGACTAAAAAAATAACGTGAGTGTCACAAACTGAACTGTGAATGTTAACTGCAGGGTGGGTAGGAGAAGACCGTTGGAAAGAAGAAAAGTGGGAATCAGCCTGGTTTAAGCTGAAATTGGTAAATATTAATGGAAAGGTCCGGAAGGAAATAAGAGATGCAGGGTTAGCATGCAAGACAGAGACTGAGATTAGAAAGGCTTTTGTCTTGTGGTTCAGAAACTATCATGATAATACTTCCCTGTATAATGATAACATACTTCCTAAGTGTTTACTAGGTGTCAAGCATTCTATTAAAGACTCCATATGTATCAGCTGATTTGTTTCTCAGAACCACATAAGATTGATATTTCTCTTTGAAATAACATAAACGAGGCTTTGAGATGGTTACTTGCCAGCACTTCATTGCTGGTCGTAACAGAGCAGGAAGTAAGCCCAGGTGTGTCTGACTATGCAGCTTAGTCTTAATCGCCAAGGGCATTTGAAGCCATGGGATTGGATTCCAGCTCCTTGGCAGAAGGTGGAAATAAGAGAGAGAGAGAGAAAAAAAAAAAAAATGAAACGGAATGGTAACATCTGGGAGAAGGAAAGGAAGCTTTACTGATTAGTCTGTTTAACTTATTAGTGAAAGAAATCCCAGCTCGAATCGGTTGAAACAAATCAGGGGATTTTAATGGAAGGATAAGCTATGAAATCATTGGACAGCCACGGTTGGAGAAAGGTCACGACAGCTTCTGATGTTGGGACGCAGAAATCAGAGCTTCAGGTTCTTCTCTGTCTCTTAGCTGTGCTTCTCTGCATGGGACAAGTCTATCCTCTCCTTCTGTAGAGTGGTTTCATGCATGTGGCAAGAATTCAGGTAGCCAAATGGTTCCGAATTTTATAGCTTGTGATTTCAGCCAACAAAGGGACGTTAATAAGGCTCTAACTGGCCCAGCCTAGGTCAAGTGCTACATCAGTTAGGATAGTTTTTGTTGTGTGACAGAGAAAACCTAAATAACCTCTTATCGTATATTTTTCTCACATAATAAGAAATTTGGAAGGTGATCACCGCAGGGCTGGTTCAGAGCGAAATAATATCAAGGGGCAGAATGTCTCAGATTCTTTTAGCATGCCACTCACGATGGAAGGATGGCTGCTGGTACTGTCATAATCGTATCCTTATGGCAGGATCTGAAGTGGGAAGAAAGGAGGCAGGAAAAAAACTCTCTATGTGACATCCTCTTTTTGTCAGGAGGGAGCTACTACATTTCAGGTTCAGTGCGGCCTGAACTAACACAGTCTCGAGGGTCCCCTTTAAGAAAAACAGAATAATATTCAAAATACAAAATTAGGCCCAGGGCCTTGGTTTGAGGGTGTTGGGAGTATGAGACCCTGAGCTGAAGCTGCATTCGCTTCCTGGTACTTCAAGTCCCTTGTGTATTTCTCCTTGGCCGAACCGAGTCATCTGGTCATCCCTGGCTGCAAGGAGCTTGGGAGAGCAAGTGTCTGGATCTTTCCGTAGCTAACTTTGGAGATGGGTATTTAAGATGAGATAAGAAGGAAGAAGAAGGTTTGTTGAGTAAGGACTAATTTGCTTCCACAGATGTCTGTCACTGGGATATTTATGCATGGCCAGAGGTATAGAATCGTATTCTAGAACGTGCCTGATTTGGAAGTCACTATGTGGATGGGTGTAGTGGAATAAATAGTGTCGCCCCACCCCAAATTCTTATTTAGAAGTCTCCTGTATTTAGATATAGCGATAAACAAATCTGTTATCTGGGGCCAACGAAGTATTCCATGTTTATTTATTTTAGACATAAAGGAAATCAGCTCCTCTAAAACCTCTCATTTTATGTTGCTTCGATGTGAATATACCTTAAATGTATTATGGACTTCCATGAATTCTTCTGTAGAATGGATCTTTTGCTTGATGACCCGGGGTCAACATGGTGCAAGTTCATTGTCATTCTGTGCCGTGTTGTGATGCCTGGGACCTCAGTGCTAAATGCCCTGGATACTCACATTGCTCAATCGCTGTTCTTCTCTCTTGCTGTGAGCTGGCCAGCTGTGCATCTGGTTGTTGCCAGCACACTCTTTTTACCAAGACCCTGACTTTCTTTAACGTGCCGTTTCTAATCCACTGTGGTCTGGGAATCTAAACAACACAGCTTGTTAGAACTGATCTTAATGGAAGAGCAAATGCCCCAAGCCAGCGTCTGTGTCCCCAACGTGCGTTTCTTTAGGGATCTATTCTTTGAGTTAGGTGTTATAAGTTTGAGTGCGTGGATGGCCAGAGTACTTTTTCCTTTGTTTCCGAATACCCGAGTAGATCCAGCTGGCTGACGAGGTGCTTGACAGAATCCAGCAGATTCTCAATGGGAATTGTTCCCCCCCGCCCCCCCGGCATTGTTTTCCATGCCCTAACGTAAGAAAAAAATATCGTATATGTTTTTGTTTCATTTGGGGATATCAATGGGATAATGTCAGCTGTAGAAAGACTTCCTTCCTTTTAAACCTCCATCTCGGGGAGTTCTTGGCCAAACTTTGGATATGATAACGGGCAGCTTATTTTCACCTAAGGGTCTGTGTCGTTAATGACAAACACGCAGCTACCATATGCGTCAAAGCGGGGGTTAACTAGAAGCAAAAACTGTTAGATCCACGCGATTGTACCGAGGTACCATTTTAAATATTCACAGCAGTAGCAGAAGTCACAGGAGAAGAAGGAGTGTTTCCTAGGGCATCACATTATTCAGGAGTCAGGTTGCAGAATGCCTTTGAATCTTGAAATGACATTTAAGTCGAAATGTCAGGAGCGGGGATTCTGAGGTCAGAAGCGATAAGGTATTTGGATATTAGTCATTCGATTTAAGGAAACAGAGTCTCGGAGTGGACCCTGTTTCTCTCAGCTCCTATTCCTCATCATCGAACTCTTCTCCGAAGCATTGTACCCGAGCTCTCGCTGTGGGAGCGAACGGTGGGGGCGTAGCATAGAATAT